TTTTATTGCAATGCTCTCTTACTCGTAAAAAATACTGTCATATTTAGTAGTAGGCTATAATGTTGTTCTGAACCATCCGACTTGACACCTTGATTTTATCTGAATAATTCATTTTCTTAAATTAAATAACCTGGCAATCGTGCCAGAATATAAGAGCAAAAAAATTTGGTGGCAGAATTTTATGAGGAAGGAATAAACTGGACTGTAATTGTTTTAGAATCAGTAGCAACAAGGGGTGGATCCTAATCAAGATTTAACTGAAATTTCTGCTGCAAAAGTTTCCTTTTTGGAAGAACTCTGTCAACTTTTATTTTCAATATTTCAGTAAAAAGCACACCTGGTTCTTTCCGACCTGATCAGTTTTACACTTTTATTTTATACATAAAATTAATTAATGCAATAATCATGTGTTTGGAATAATACTGATGACTGGAGATGAACACGATGTCACTGCTCTTATGATTTTTTCTCTGTGACTCTTCTTGGAATTATTCGCGAAAACTAAAACGCTTTAGCTTCGAAGCCAAAAGCACTTAAGAAAGAAGAAAATTAGAAATAGGAAGATTAAAACAGATTTACACTTGATCTTATCTGCGGTTTTATGTAAAACCTTCAACAACTAGTTTTTATTTGTTTCTTTTCTTTTGTTGACCTAAAGTATAGTGCAACCGCAACGCTGCGAAAGAAAGATAAATTATTTATGGTTTTTGATGCACACTTCAAACATAATCTTGGGAATTGTGTTCTCTCGTCATCCTGTTTTGTTTTTCTTTATTATTTTAGTGGGCTTATGCATTATACATTGATTTTCACCTTCCGACCGCCATAACGTGTTCTCTGAAGTATCGGAGAATTGTCCCGTAAAAAATTAAATCTGGAATCACTGTGCGTGTTCAACACCACAGTGTTCGGTTTTGAACGTCACGCATTCTCGTCGAAGTGGCTTCGTGGCTCACGGAGACACGCACGTGTGGTAATCAACAGTGAAGGTTCCATCGCGGGTTATACGGTTGTCCGGCCAACTTCTGGCGGAGAGGAAGGTTACAGGATAGGGCCGCTCTTTGCAAATTCCGAGCCAATCCTCCGTAGGAAAAAAGATGGCGACTGGTACATTTACCCATAGCTCTTGGCGCAAGAAAACCTTAACAACGCCCATAAAAACGTGCAGAAAAGTTATAAAATCTTCAAACCTAG